AGCCAACGGTAGTGCCTTATACTCAGAAGTGTACTCAATTACATACCCCACACCCTTGCTTAATCTAAATAGACTCAACAGTACCATAGTGAAGGTGTTGTATGTTTCTGGAGGGAGGCCATACATGCTTGAGCTGAGATCCTTTGACAGACTTTGCGTGCAAACACAAACACAAACGCCCTTTTTCTTCCACAACCGAAGGATGATTGGGAAAGGAAATCATGTTCAATAGGTCACACAAACATAACTGTTCTGATGACCTACTTTCGCTGTTAACTACATAGCTGCTACTATAGAGTGATAAGCTCAGATTTATGTTTAGGGAGAAGGACACATGCACTACAGAGAGCATTTAAGCATATATGTACGTCTATTTGGAACAGTAATGACTGTGGACATTGTCTTGAAAGTGTTCTGTGAGGTTAATACCAAACCTCACTAGTACCATCAGTTAGATAATGAAGTTTATGGTGGGATAAATATGCTTTAATGTTGTAATCATGTACAAATAAGCAAATAAGTTCTTATTTGCATGATAAAATATTATAATACTCTGTATGTGTGTGTCTGTGTGTGTTTGTGTGTGTGTGTGAGTGTATCCTAGCCCTACCTGATATTGGAGGGCAGAGTGTACACTCTTTTATTCCCCATGCTAAACCTTCTCCCTTGCAGCAGGTTTCCTGACTGCGGAGCCCAGGCAGAGGAGAACTGCACTGTGGAAGACAAACAGAAGATTCATTAAGGATAATCAGAATTGTGCTTTATTGGCCACCTACACTAGAATGTACAAGGAGCTTGACTCCATTGTTGAGCTTATAGATATTACATATTACTCATGTCAGGCACAGAGCACAGTTTGCAGTCTGCTTTGCTTTGCTTTCGTAAATTAGCACAGTATCAGATCGATACCAATATCTCTACTGATGCATCACTACAATTAAGGTCGAGACTGTTCTCTGTTCTGGCACCTGGGTGGTGGAATGTACTTCCTCTAGATGTTTGAACAGCTGAGTCACTGACAGTCTACAAAATGATGTCTAAAGACTTACCTCTTCCTAAAGTACTTAAATTAGCACTTTAAAAAATGTATCGTCTGAGCGCTTGTCTATTACCTCCCCACCAGAGTCTTTGGACTGACGGTATTCCTAGTTTGTGACCTAGTGATCCAGTATCAGAATGTATTTATTGATAGACTTCAAGCACTTTTGTAAGTCGCTCTGGATAAGGGCATCTGCCAAATGCTGTAAATGTAAATGTTAAATGTAATGTAAATGCTTTTCATATGTGCATCAGGGAACATGCCAAACCACATACTGCTTTAATAAATAGGGTGTCATGTACTATGTCATGTACTGTGTGGTGCCAAACTGCATACTGCATGCTATGGCATACTCCATAATAAGGTAGTACAGATGGTGTATTTTGTTATACTCTTTAGTATGGTAGCAGGCACAGCGTGAAATGAACCCACCAGTCACTGTGGCTAGTTGTTTTCCTAGTATTGCAGCCATCCAGTCATTATTTTCATAAGACATGATATGTGTTATCTACACACTTGCCTGACTTTTTGAATATGGAGAGGCTGTGCAAGTGTGTTTGGCGTCCATTTTATGTGTGTTTCTCACCTGTCCGTTGCGAACTTCTCTGAAGCAATATTTAAACCCAGACACCTCTGTGTAGATAGAGTCTCCCCTGAAGGTTTGGGCCTGGACAAGAGCGGGTGTAGCCTCTGCTCTGTCCGCTAGAATCGCGCTGCTATGACCCCGGGACCCCAGGGAACCTGAGAGCCCTGATGATCGCCACACCGTCTCCAAGCCTGAACCTGAAGTGACCTTCGCCACCTGGTGGATCTTCACCGTTGCTTCAAGAGGATGATGAACTCGAACTGTCACCACAGGAGACCCTGAACACAACACACACACACACACACACACACACACATGTTTAACATCTGCACTTTCATCAAAGAAAAGCTGACTTTATTACATAAATAAATACATTATTTTACTAATATTTAAATTTTCTATTGTACTTTCACTCCATTTCTTACTCTGTATTATTCAGTGGACTTGGTAAGCCTATTGTAAGCCATCTTATTGTCTTTTTTTTATTTCATTATTCTTTATCATTGTTTTCTGTAGCATGCAGGGCAATTCGATTAATTAAGACTAATTTTGGAACATCAGCTTGAATAAACAGAATATTAGTTACATCCCACACCACTATTAGTTAACGGTTTAAATGTGTTAACTAGCTGTTTATTCCCAGAGAAGGCTAGCTCAGATTTCCTTTGAGACATGTTAACACTGGTGTGTGGAAACCCACAATATTTTTATTGCAAGCTGCAAATGTTATACTGATAACAGCTATTTTTTTTTCAACTTTCACGACCTTTAAGAATTCAGCCTCATCCCTACTATACATGCAGTAATTTTAAAATATGCTTGTTTAAATAAACTGTTTAACAAAATGATGTTCCAATTTACAACACCAAACAGACCATGACATCAACTGTGCTCCCCAGAGTGTATCTATGAGCCAAATATGCGAAAATAATGCAGTTGCGCAAGATTCCAGTGTAAACAACACAAAGTCATGGACAGAAAGAAAGCCCCGAGCATGGGAAGGGACGTTGGGGCTCCAGTTCCATCAATATGGTTTATATTGGGAGATGTATTGCTGTAAAATGTAATGAGATGACCTAGGGCAACAGAACATAGCACTGCTAAGTACTGAACACTAGGAGAAGGTTAAGCAAGGGATTAAAATGTAATATAATCATTGCCTGCTCTCTTTGGCCATGTCGAGATTGTTATGAGTGAATGAGTAGGGGGGGATCTGTTTATATCCCATTTACGAAATATTGTTATCTAAAGGGTTATCAGTGTATAGACCATAAACCAGTTGGCTCTAAAAATCTGAATGCACAACGACAAGTACTGCGATGATTTCCACAGTTAGCCAAACTTAATGTGCCATATGATCATTCTCAAACCATACTCCATCATTCTTCACTAATATACACTCAGATAAGAGTGTTCTTATTGGCTGAAGGCAGCAGGGATGGTGATAAATGAGTGTACTGGAGAGAAATGTTAAAAATGTTAAAGCTGTTAAAGTTTAAAACTGTGTTAGAAGGCTCCTGAGTGGTGCAACAGAAAAACGTTCACCCTATCCTTTCCAAGAGAACAAAATGAGTGGAAGGAATGGCAGACCTGCCAACCTTTACTCATTTGTGTAGGAGCTCTGCATTTTAACAATGGGCTATGCTGATACTCAAAAATATGCAAAAAAATAAAAAATAAAAAAAATTTGTGAATCTGGAATGATTGACAGTTGCGCTGGTGTTTTGAAATCTCCAATATTAACTGACCCCCTAGAAGCCCCACCCCCTCCTCATCTATCATATTAGTAATAACTCGTTCCTGCTTGAAAAATACGGCATCGCCTTCTGTCAAGGTAAATGTAAAAAGGGATTAGATCATGTGAAATAAAATTTGTCAATGGATGTTTGTTTTAGCTAATATTAGACAAATATATAGTTATCATCAGCTTAGTATATTTATTAGGAATGCCACCAAACAATTTCATCTGAAAATGGTCGGAAATGGCACTTTGTCGGTTGAAAGAAGCACAGAAGTTTTGGAACAATGCGGTCAAGGCTATCACTGTAGAAACTGGTGTGCACATATATACCAGGTTTTACAGTACCCACCAGGTGCTATGGGGAAAATTGCTGCTGCTGTTCTGTTCTGTAGCAAACGCTAAACGCTAGAAAAGTACATACAGACCTATTATTAACTGCTGTATATAACAAATCTATTCATTAACAATTAATTGTAGATGTATGTAACATTTTCATGGAATATGGAAAAGAATGTGAACTTCTATACTGTAAATTTTTCTACTTTTCTGCAGGTAAACTTTTCTAGTATCTACATCTTAACCAAAACAAATGAGAAGTCAGCTCCCACCCCTCCATGGAAATCCTTCCACCTGCAATGCAAAAAGTGACGTTCATGCACATGAAAATATCGTCAAATTTATATAGCATTTCCTATTATAAGATTACGAGTAACCAAATATAACCAAACATATTAAAAGACTTATTTCTAGATATTTTTTTTTACTAATTTCAAGCTTGTTCTATTGGCAAATATTTTTGATAATTTCAAACACTTATTTATAGAAAGAAGCAAAATTATAAAGAAAATTTAAAGCTTGAAATTAGGGGAAAAAAAATCTAGAAATTGGTTCAATAATATTATATTGGGTTTATTGTATTGTCTTATAATAAGAAGTACTATATCTATATGTGAACTACAGTTTCTACTATTTGTGAAAGGACTATATTGAAAATGTACTGCATTTCACCCTCCCTGTAAAAGACGAGACCTAGCTAGTGGTTGGGAATTAGCAAATGACCAAATTGGGAGAAAATGCTGTTACACTGCAAAAAAATGACATCTTAGCAAGTGAAAATATCTTGAATATAGTTAAATATATCTAGTACTTCCTATTATAAGATTACCATAAACCAAATATAAGGTTATTAAACCTAATTCTGGACATTTTTACTCATTCCAAGCTTGAAATAGTCTTGTTCAACCGGCAGATAATGTTGCTCCTTTTACGCATTTGTTTCTAGAAAGAAGCAAAATTATCTGCCAAAAGAACACAATTGTTTCAAGCTTGAAATGAGCATAATGTCTCAGAATAGGTTTAATAATCTTATATTTGGTTTCTTGTAATCTTGTAATAGGAACTACTAGATACAATTGACTGCCGTGTAAAAACGTTACTGTAGATTTTACAGTAATTTACAGGCAACCTAGGTTGCCAATAAAGTATTGTAAGATTTACAGTAAACAACCGTAAAACATATTTACAGTAAAGTACTGTGATGTCATACATAGTGTAAAATAACACATAACCCAGCATGTTGATGCAGGATACAGCTGAGCTGAAGGGTCTTGCTCAAGGATCCAATCAAGGCAGTGTGGCGCTGCTGGGATTTGAACACACGACCCTCTTATCTGCAACTCGAAGCCATAACCACTGAGCTAGCACGACTAGCTTGCACTGACTCCCTGCAATCTTTTAGTGGTGTTAATTCAGTGCTGGAAGTAGCTTGAGTTAATACAAGCCAGTTGTGGTGGTGTCATGGTGTAGTGGTGGTGGCGCAGTGGCTAAGGCTTCGAAGGATGTGTGTTCAAATCCCAGTACTGCCAAGCTGTCATGGTTGGGTAAGACCTGTAACCTTCAACTCAGCTGTATCCTGCATCAGCTAAATTAGCAACTGTGCTGGGTTATGTGTCATTTTACACAATATTAAGATATTACAGAACTTGCAAAAAATATTTTAGCTGTTTACTGTAAATGTTTACAATGCTTTACTGGCGACCCAAATTGTCAGTAAATTACTGCAAAATTTACAGCAATTTATTACAGTGTATATTCAAGATGTTTTCACTTGGTAAGATGTTTTCGCAGTGTAAAAAACTGTGTGTAAGGAGTGTATGTGTGTCTCTGTGTGTATCTCTTTGGAAAATGTTGGATTAGTGTTTGATAACTGACTCTTAGACTTTTAGATTCGACTGTAGAGTGAGACACAGCCAGTTCCCCACAGTTTCCGATCAATCTAGACGCAGTTAGTTCACCTTACCGTTGGTGTGGTTCTGCTGTCGACTCTGTAAAGGAAGGACGTACTCCGAATGCATCATCCCCTGACTGGCTGGAAAATTACCACTCGGGGGCTTCTCAATCTCATTGGCAGAGGGGGAAGATGAAGATGTGGGGATATGGCAGAACTTTCCAGTAAAGTTGGAAGGACAGAGACATCGATCTTTCTGAATGCACACACCTCCGTTTTTACACAACATGGGGCACAAAACTAGAGAGAAAGATAGAGAGGGAAGCGTAGATACAGATAATTGAATCAAAGTCAATACAGAGGTGTCATATGTACTGACAAGCACTCAGTGGACACTTTATTAGGTACACCTACGTGAGTTAATATCTAGGTGTACTTTAAAGCAAAACAACACAGAGCAAGGCAAATAAAGTCTTATGTCTGGACATTAATACACTATAATCTGTAGATTCTTATGACCTCACTGTGTGTGTGAGTCCTGTTCAGGGTTAAAACTTTTAATGCTATTTAATGTAATTATTCAGTTTTAACTGGCTAGTCAAAGAAATCACTAACTAGAAATGTGTCCCAGCTCTTCAGCAAAATTCAATTCAATTTTATTTGTATAGAACTTTTAACAATATATATTGTCACAAAGCAGCTATGCAGAAATCCAGACAGAGATTTTGATCCCTAATAAGCAAGCCAGAGGAGACAGTGGCCAGGAAAAACTCCCCAGGACACCATGAAGAAGGAACCAGACTCCAAAAGGGAACACATCCACTTCATGGTGATAGTGCAATGGATAGTGCAAATCGAAATCATTACGCCTCCATGTTTGTACTATATACAGTACTATAAAATCAAACGGTAGTAAATGTGTTGAAAAGATGTTCATTATGAGCATCATAGTCTTTATGAGTACAGCAGCAGCTCTTAGATGCAAGTCTACAGTATCCGCGGGTCTCATTTATCAATGCATGCATAAAACAAGTTCTCAGCTGTATGCAATGAAGGTTCCTAAATTGCTCTGCTCGTGCAGAGCCACACTCATTCACATAAAGCCCACAAATCACCATATATGGAAAACAACTTCTCTTTAAAAAGCCAAGTAGATTGCTCATGGCACTGCTTGTATCAGATGACACGGAGCATGTCAAAAGGTCTAAGAAGAAGAACTTCGCCAAAAGTGAAGTAGAGATACTGTTGCATACCGTAGGGGTACAATCAAAATGGTTTATTTGGAACTTTTATGAGCGTTTTGTCTAAGAAATAAATACAAAATATGTATTATTGACAATAGGTGGGAGGGGAGCATCACATAATCAGTTTACTTGCAGTTATACTTTTGTAGCACTAAAAGTTTCTGTATACGCATGGTCATGGTCCTCAAGAACAAGAAGAACTTAATAAATCACATTCTATGTGTAGAAACGTGAATATGCACCGTTTACACACAAAACTATGTATACACACGGTCGATAAATGACACCCCAGGTGATCAGTTACATATCTAATTATCATTTAGTTAGCATTTAATGTTATCTTCCATGAACGCGGAAAGGCACAAGCCAACACTGTGATTATACTGAAAACTGCCATATTTGTTTTCACAATTATAAGAATTTATCACGAATGCACATGGTTAAATAAAATTATTAAAACAAAAAGATGGGTCGGGTTTGAAGACGAAGAGGAGACCCACCCAACACTCGAGTTTAATTTGGGGCCAGTTCGTGTGTGTGTACAAATGCATCTGAGGTGAACTCCCAACACATTCATTCAAAAAGGTTTTATTTGTCTCTTAGCTATTCTGCATTCGCTCTTGTATATGTACATCCTCCCACACACACACACACACACACACACACACACACACACACACACACACACACACATGTGAAAGCTTGAACATTTTCCAAGGTCCACAATTATCCATCATTTTTATGACAGATCTGTCTCTGAGGAGCTCATGCCTGGCCCTCCAAAGTGTGTGTATGCGTGTGTGTTTCTCTAACACACGTTTAATGTCAGCACAAGCCTAGTAGAGAAAATGAAAAAGAGAAAATAAACTTACGTATGTATGCATGATTGTGTAGGATCCAAAGATTTCTCACACACTCCCTATCTCATGACATCACTATGATCTCATACAGTTTAAGTAACAAGACCTGATTGTTTGCTGAGTCAGATCAGTCCTGCAGTGTGTGTGTGTGTGTAAGTGTGTGTGTGTGTGCAAATGTTTATCTTAAGAGAGAAAGGAGTACTTTAAACTGCAATAGAAAAGACTGATTGTATTAATCATTTATTTATTGCATTGTTTATAATTACTTTATATACTGTTGAGTGTTTCTACTCTGAATTACCTTGTCTCAGATTTGTATTAGATGGACTGGATTATTTGAAATTAAGTAAAAGCCTTGTACGTAAGTGACTGCGAGAGCAGTAAATCCTGTCAGGATGAAAGACGACAGAATAGAAATCAAACAAAAACCACTTTAGTATCAGCTCACAGTGAATGCTGCATTCAGTACATGAGCAGCTTGAAAAATTTAGTAATAAGCAGCAAGTAGGTAATATTCTGACAGCATGTGTTCTTATTTAAGAAGTTTTTTTTTTCTTACAGGCATGGAGTTGCAGTTCAGGCTTGCTAGTGTGGGTGAAAAAGTGCTGTTCTGAAACCGTTCTTTCAGGTCCATGTATGAGACGTACACTGCTTTGAATATGGTGCATTATTCATTTATTTCACTTTCTCCAATTTTGCTCTTCTTATTTTCATATGTGTCAATATGTAGCAATGAGAGAAAGTCACATTTCTTAAACTGGTCAAATGCAAAGTTGGTGGTAATGTGATTAGCATTTTTGGCTACAAGCACATCAAGTCACATGGAGAAAAAAGTCTATATGCTATTTTTTTTTTTTTCAAAGAATGTAATGACATACAATGGGGTCCAAAACTCTGAGACCACATTGAAAAGCTGTTTTTTTTTTCTTTCATTTAGGTTTTAGAATTTTAAAATATTTAAAACAAAGAAAGTAAATGTCCAATATCTAGAATATTTAATATTCAGGAAACTGCATTATTTCTAGGTCCCTATTTAAATGTCAGCAAATTTGTAATATTGACCATCTTTCACTGCTTTGTACAAAAGGTCAGAATTTTCTCATGCCTAAGCTCTTCTGTTGAAGCATGTGTTCAGATGACACTCTGATGGATCGGATCCAAAATGGATCGTAAGATTTTGCACAAACTTGTGGAGTCCATGCCGGCTCGAGTGTACAGTGCCATTAAAGCAAAAAGGGGACAAACCAAATACTAAGAAACTGTGAAATTCATGTAAATATTTCAAAGATTCCACTTTTCACCCAAGTCGTTGTCAGTAATATAATTTGTAATGAAAACTGTTGTATTAAATTAGATAAATAGGTTTCATACATGACGAGATTATTTCTTTCTTTTATTTTTAACTCATGGACATAAAACGGGATATTATAAACACCACAGCCATGAGAACTTATTTATATATTAGGCAATAAATTGCTTGACATGCCAGTTCCACAGATGAGTGTCCTTAGTGAGAGATGTCCTTTTCTAATGATAAACTACTGTTGCATGCCTTGCATTTGCATATTGGAACATGATAGGCTCTTATATTTAATGACACAATAATGACATTGCCTGTCAAGTATGCAATACTAGGTATTTCCAGTGAGACACTGACGTTCTCTTTTTTCCTAAAAGGATATGGCAAAACTGTTGTCCTTTCTGCTCACTGAAATGATCATCCCTGTGAGACTTCAAGAGAATATGGTCCTTAAAGAGCGGTGGTGACACATCGAATGGCGTGAACGTGAAATTTACTCGACACCACACTGTGGCTGATCAGTTGATTGAGTTACGGACTGATAGTCACAGCAGATTAGAGAGAAGAAAGTGAAAATTGTGCTGTCTGCACTGCATTCAACAGTCCAATACAATAGGAGAAAAAAACACTATTAAAGCATAACTATTTGTGATGTTAATGTACCTGCACATTTGTATGCAACAATAATCGATATTATTCAGTTGTACCATTTTGGGGGACTAGCATGAACAAGTTTCGTGTTGTACATATGTGTATGTGAACAAGTGTGGTGTGTAGGTTTTATCTCTTCTAGGCCTACTTGCAGCATATGTTTTTAATTTAGCTCAAAACACCCCCTCCCATAGTTTTTCCTTCTTCGATTCGAGCATTAATGCAGAGTGCACTGTGTGTGTGTGTGTGTGTGTGTGTGTGTGTGAAAGAGAGACAGAAAGCATATGTGGATGTCCCCAAAACACACACGTTACTCATTCCGTCCTTTCACATTTCCGTGTCGTTTTACTCATCTCAACTGTGTGTATATTTGTGTGTGTGTGTGTGTGTGTGTGTGTGTGTGTGTGTGTGGTTTGTCTTTTAAG